GCCGGGTTCGCTGGACGAAACCCCTTTGTCCCTCCAATAGTCCACACACATCACACCATCCTTGAAGCCCTCCGGCCAGTCCTGGGTCCCCGATGCCTCATGCCCCCGTTGTTCACAGTCCCACACAATATGCTGCAGCGTTGCCCGACTGTCCTTACATACCCTGCACAAGTCACTCTCAAAATTCCCTGGGTCCACATGTCTCCCCAACACCGGGGTATACACACACATCACCTGCAACTGCCTAAAAAGCACCGCATCCTCCCGACACAAATCCTTGTGAGGTTCCGGGAACCTCCTCCTATCCCGTCTGCAACATTCAAGATACTCTCCATAACCCAGCCTCCGCTCACAATACGGAACCGCATCGGACGCCATCACGACGAAAGTGAATCTCGACAAAGAAAGCAGATCCGAGGCGGGCGAAACGCACCCTTCGACGCAGGAATGTCCCAAATCCACCCAAAGCCGGACCTCCTTGGCCTTCGAGCCGAGGCGACGGCGGTACGCGAGGGCGTTGGCGAGGTGAGCCAGACGCAGGTGGCCTGTGACGTCAATCTGAAGAGGAGAGCAGTCGTGATCGTAAAAATTTTCACGACTCCGATAGACCGTAAAAATAGAAGCGTCCGCTTCAATTTTCACGATTTGTCGGAGTCGCGGGTGAAGGGTCGAGTGCAAAAATAAACATGTGTCAATAAGACAAGCTTTACGTATGGTTCGCGCTTGTGCTGAAGCTTCGAGGTCTGGCCATTTAGTTTAGTTTAGAGACCCAAAACGATGCGGTCGGGACCAGGAAACGTGAGATAACGGCTGTTGATAATCCATGCTCTTTGTATGATTCCTTCTCGATGTGTCGATCGAAACCGAAATCATGCCGCTCTCCTCCCTGACCTAGAGCACTATATAGCTCCTACGGAGCAGAGTAACGCAATCCTTTGAACCCCGTGTTTTGCCGACAACATGGCCGACAGAGCGGCTCGGCGCGAGTCACGTGGTACTCAGGGTTCCAGGAGGCGGCCCGCCCTATGGGAGAATACATGGAGATCGACACAACACGGCTGATTAAACAATGAACGGCGAGTTCACACTTTTCAAAACTAGTCTGTCGTGAAGTTAGTAAAGCACTAAACATTTTATCAAAGTTTTAACTATATCGGATGCGTGTGCAAATTTTGAGAAGGCAATTTCCAAGGCAATGGCGTTTGAAGCAGACGATTTTTCCTCGCAGCGGAGATGGGCTTTTCGGGTTGGCCGGAGCGGGTCACGTGAATGGTGTGACGTCGCCGTGTCGTCTGCTGCATAATGCCGCTCAGGCAATTTTTAAAAAAAAAGTCAGGTCCTTGCGGGGCACAAAACTTAGCGCAAATTATTCTAAAATGTTCCATTATTATGTCAAAAATCATTGCGATTCCGTACATTCGCACAATACTGGAGAAACAACGATTTTCTCGCGTTCTCCATGCATTTGTGACCGCAGTTGGAACCTCCGGGCGTTCGCCGCTAGTCGCCGAGAGGCGGCGTTCTAGATTGCGCTACTGGCGCTACTCTGCTCCGAAGGAGCTATATAGTGCTCTACCCTGAAGAGTGCAACGCGCGCAGTGTTGCTTGCACGGATTTATGGAAGTAGTCCCAAATCTGCGAGCGCTCGCTATTTCCATGAGCAGTGGTTATCAAAACAAGGTACCTAGGAAAGGTGGCGCAAGCTACCGCCCATTATCAAGGGTATAACAGTACAGTCCAGGTCCACAGAGCCGTTAGCCAGGTTACACGGCTCTGCCAGGTTCGCCAGGTTAGCATCTGTCCATCCATCGATCTTTTCTCAAAGTGTCTCGGGTGGGGCTGGGAAATGCTTGAGGATGTGAAAATGCTCCAATTTCTCCGAGTTTACCAAAGTTTCAAGGTTTCTCCACGATCAGTGTGTTCAAGAAAAGCCCACGCTGGGGCAAGCCAGTGACCCTGTCCGGTTGCCACTACGGTGAGCACGATTTGCTTCCTTTGGCCATCAGAATGTTTTCTCGGCAAACCTTGTCGTCTTCAGCATTACGGCGACAAAGCCGTAATGCTGATAGAGATGTCCTCATCAGCGAAGACCAACAATGGTCACAGATTGGACATGACGATTGCATCAACAGACGGCTCAAACTTGGCACGATGCGGAGCGCTGACTCAGTACTCATTTCCAATTCGTCCAGCGACGGCTTTCTCTGGTGCCTCAAAAGCTCAAAAGAGCCGGGTCGAGACCGAGTATCCGACCCCTCCCCGCATTAATATTTTAGAATAGAGCGTGTCACCCTTCGAAATTTTTATTATATATACAGGGTGTCACAAAAGAAAATTTACACGGTCTTTTTTACCGCAAAAATAAACTAGACATTGCCAAACGCTCATTCTCCGCCCAAAGGTAGAGCTAGAGGTCACAACCAGATGCCAAAGTTTGAGCCCGATCCGATAAGTTAATCAAAAGTTATAAGTGATTTTCTGAAAATTTCAATGGGAAAATGGAGCCCATTTTTGCCTGTTTTCGGTTTCTGGTGCCATAGAGCCCCATGTGTTTGAAAACTCCGTCGGCCGCCATTTTCCCATTGAAATTTTCAGAAAATCACTAATAACTTTTGAATAAGTTATCGGATCGGGCTGAAACTTTGGCATCTGGTTGTGACCTCTAGCTCTACCTTTGGGCGGAGAATGAGCGTTCGGCGATGCCTAGTTTATTTTTGCGGTAAAAAAGACCGTGTAAATTTTCTTTTGTGACACCCTGTATATATATATATATATATTTTTTTTTTTTTGCAAAAATAAACTATGCATTGTCGAGTGCTTAGTTTCCGTCCAAATGTGGCCCTAGAGGTCCAAACCTGAGGCCAACGTTCCAGAACCAACCGTTATCTCGAAAGTTGTGAGTGATTTTTTGAAAGTTTCGATAGACAAATGCTGGCTGCTGGAGCCGTTGAATAAATGGAGCTGAATGGCGCAAGTTACTGAAAACGTATTTTGAACAAGATATCGGTTGGTTCTGTAATTTTGGCATCCGGTTGGGACCTCTAGAGCTACATTTGGGCCGAAACTGAGCATACAGCGATGCATAGTTGACTTTTGCGTTTAAAAAAAGAGTAAAGCTATACGCACCCCAGAGTGCGCTTCGGACGGAAATGGCTATACGCACTCCGCTTTTCTCGTAAAAAAAGAGTGGACACAACGAGATTCCTAAGCGGTGCCATGGCATAGGGGTTAGGATGTCCGTTTCATACGCAAGTGGTCGCGGGTTCGATCCGCGGTAAACCAACTTTTTTTTTTTTTTTTTTCTCAGACATTTTGTTTTGTAGGCATTTGGCGATATTTCCTTTTTTGCGATGAACAGTAAAAAAAAAAAAAAAAAAATCGAATATTTTCGAGAAACTTCGCAGAACTAAATGGTAGCGGACTCCCTTTCCGGAGGTGCGATCGGGGACAGCGGGGCTTGGATTGCCGGCTGGACGCCGCGAAGCGGCGTGTACTGGTTACGCTTTGTAATTAGCAGCCGATACTGTCGCCGCGAAGCGGCGTGAATGCAGGCGGGGGGCTGTGTTAACGAGCGCCCCAGTGATTCACGCGCCGTTCGAAAAGGGTGGCCCGAGCGGCATGATCTCTCGGAGGAGTGCGTATAGCCATTTCCGCGCGAAGCGCACTCCGGAGTGCGTATAGCTTTACTCTTAAAAAAATCTAAATTTTTTTTTTTTAACTTACTGTATTAGGGGAGGGGCGGTTGGCTTGCTCTAAAAGTGGCTCTCATGAAATTTTAGTATGAGAAATGCACCACCTAAAGACACCTTTGTGGAAAGTTTATTTCAACACTGTCTGTTGGCTTATTTATATTTTTTTTAAGCCGGTAGAGGGCTTTAGAACCCATAGTAGAATGGGGTTGAGGAGTAATAGCCTGGCATCAGCAGTGCACACATATTGCATTGTAAAGCACCTTTCCATTGTAGCAAACTGGAAATTCCAGATATCTCATTATTTCCTCAATGAGTGTTCAGTCCTTTAGTACATATGCTTTCCCTTTAAATCGCTTGTAACACAAAATTTTTATTGCCATTTGTTGCTTCTGATGTTCGTAAATTGTTGATTTCTCTCATTGTGAATAATGCAGCTACCATAAGTGCCTTTAAATTCGGACAGCTGGGAGAATTATGCTCTGTGCTCTCATAGCTATCAAAGGCCTGTATGTAGCCTTTGATAGCTATGATACGTAGCTAGCCTCACAAATGCAAATAACGACAAATGAACTGTGCAAGCTGCTGCCATTGCCAGCATCTCATAGTCATTGTTCAGTTGTTGGAGTGTACATGTGCTGGCTGTCACTTGCAATAGATAGTCATACTTGAAATTTTAGAAATTTTGTGCATTTTGAGATTCATTGTGCACAGAACAAATAGCTCTTGGCACTCAAAATGACCACGCAGCAAAGCTTTTGTTCCCCTTCCCTCTTTCAAAATAAACGTAGGATAACAAAAAAAAAAAAAGATGAATTTTTGATCAAAATGAATAAAATTTTCCAATGGATCCCAGAGATTTAGAGCTGATAGCAACATTATTAAATTTCTCTGATTTAATATGGAGGCATTTAATTTCATGTTGCAGCTCTAGGCAGTGGAAAACTAGACACATGGGGGAGCTGTTTCTCCTTTTCCTTAGTCTTGGATCTCCATCGCAGCCCATACCAGTTGAAGCCTTATTATCTAGCTTTCAACTATTTCTGGGGTTGTCAGGTTTGACCAATCATAGGAATTTATTGTGTTCTCAATATTTTTGTTTATGTTGTCCAAATCCACTATTAATTGCACAAACAACCCTGAAATCAAAAGGATTTGCAATGGTTTGCCCAGTGCTTTTAGTTATAAAACAAATTGTATCTAGTTTTAGGAACCTACTGCAATGACAAAGTGATCTAAGATAGTGACAGTCAAATATGACAGCATTTATTTGCTCACGTTATAGGACTGCTTTAAATTTTTTTAGGTTTCTCAACTTCTACCTGGAACAACAATGGCACACACCTGAGGGAAAAGAACTTTCAAAGGAGGAAGTACTTGCTTGTCAGAAAGTAATTGGACGTTGCCTATCACAGAGGCTGATGGACATTGCCCGTGACCACCTCGCTCGGAATGCCTGGCTACAGATATGATGGGTATTTACTTTCAGTTTTACCAAACCTACATTTATGCGTCTTTACAATTAACAAGCCATAATTTTAGGTCAGCAAAGCTGCCATGTTCATTTATCATGATGATACCATACACATGCTTTAAGGAGAAAGGGAAATAGAGACATTGATGAACTGGCAGCATGAGCATTTATTGAAGGTCCTCAAGAACCACGACGGTTGCAGCGGTGGGCTCAGTAAAGAGGGAGAGAAAAATGAGGTAGCTGACCAAAAGTGAGAAGGAGAAAAATGACCTAGAAGATGGGAAACTGAGTGCTGAGATTTAACCCTAGACCACAAAGAGGTGTGTTGTGGTTGTTGACAGAGACATGCGATTACAGGGTCTAACAAGCTAAGAAACGGGGCTTCTATGTTTCCAGGAAAACTACACATGTTAAAAGCCTTAATTATCTGCACACCTTATGCCACTAGTCATTCCGTTAGAAATAGACATTTTCTCTCTGCAATTCTCACCTCGAATAGTACATCTCTCTCCACAACTACAGCCCACCTAGGTCTGAAGTCATTTGTCTGCCCACTTTCCTGTCTTCTAGGTCACTTCCTTCTGACTTATTCCCTCCTTTTTTTCTTACTTACCGCCCAATCTTTTCTTTCTTCAATCTTGCCGCTTAGGCAACTGTTGGCATGGGGCTCATTCCACGCCAAACATCCCAGACGTTACGCTTGACCATTTCCCATTTTAAAAAGAAAATTCATGGCTCTTTACCCCAAAGTCCGTAACCTTTTCCTAAAATACTTGGAATGAAGAGCGTGCTGGTAGGGGTAAAATATAATTAAAGGAAAAACAGAAAAGACCTTTTATGTTGTTTCCTTATTTACATGTTCCCTAAAATATTTTTGCCGAAAACATTTTTTTTACGGCGTGAGCGTGTCTTTATTTCTTAAATGGGCATACAACTAGGCATTCAATAAAGGAGTGAAAGTCTAATTTTTTTCAAAATGCCTCGGATTTTATTTTATGAAATTCGAATGGCTTTTACCTTGCTATGTTGTGATGTTTATGCAACTTTAATTGTTAAAATAGTTTTAGAAACCTCATCAAAAACCTTTTTTTTTTGCAATTTTCTTCATCTTTTTTGTTTAATTATCGCTCTGCACCTGGTATTTATAAGTTTTTTTTGCTATTGAAAGCCCTGTAGACATTTTACAAATAAAAAAAAAAAATGTTTGAAGCCGCATAACGAAATACCTCATGGGAAAAAAAAATATTCTAAAGTTGTGAAAAAGTCTTTCTTTTTTTTTTTTTTTGCCTAAACATGCATTTATTTTATTATGACGTTGTCAGAGTACAAATGTGAAAGATACCGACATTGGAAGAAGAGTTTGTCTTTAATTTCTGAAAGTTTATTCAAAATAATCTTTTTTCTAAAGCAAGAAAAAAAAAATGTTGAAGATGAGTTGCCTTTGTTGCAACCTGGCATTGTTTCTTAGCGCCTCTTCACCGCACTACACGCCACCTTACACGAGAGTTGAGAAACTTTGCGATCATGGAAGGCATTTGTTGGTTTAGAATGTGATTTTCGCATAGGCCTCTTTCTACACATGCACATTTTTGACTCGCAATTGCCTCACATATATTGTCACTGTCTACAGCTAAAGAGGTACCGCGGTTTGCCGCGGTCGCTTCCACTTGTCCTTCTTTTTGGCTGTAACGCACACAACAGTGGATATGGTGTGATAATCATAAACGCTGTCACTGCATAGCTGGCTTCTTTCACCCTTTGTACCAGTGTCGGCTCTCCTCACTTTGAAACTTGATGCCTAACGGCCTCACATCGCCTAAAAGAAAGTTATTCCCTCAGGAAACGCAATGTCGACCAAGTGAGATCCCTACTGGCATATTGAAAGGAATGAACCGACAGTAAGGAAGGGCAAAAAACTAGGGGTATTGTTTCGGACGACCACTAATTAGTAGCAATCGGGAATCTAGCCAAGAAATTTTAGTTTTTGTAAGAGTATGGTGACATATTGATGTATGGAGCAGGTCACTCGGCACAGGCAAGTCATCCTGCAGTTGATGCGGATGCTGATGAGGGTAAGCAGGAAATTCTAATTGTTGATGATGATTCTTTTAGAGCGCAGCTCTTAGGCGCCCGTTTCTGGCGTGAGCGGCGTCCCCGTCGCCATAACCGCGCGTTGCATTTTGGGAAAATTTTCCCGCTAAATCTAGCGGAAAAATTTCCCCACTAAATCTAGCGGAAAAATTTCCCTGTTAAATCCAGCGGAAAAATTTCCCCGCTAAATCTAGCGGAAAAATTTCCTCGCTAAATCTAGCTGAAAAATTTCCCCGCTAAATCTAGCGGAAAATTCTCCTCGCTAAATCTAGCGGAAAAGTTTTCCCGCTAAATCTAGCGGAAAAATTTCTCCGCTAAATCTAGCGGAAAAATTTCCTCGCTAAATCCAGCTGAAAAATTTCCCCGCTAAATCTAGCAGAAAAATCTCCTCGCTAAATCTAGCGGAAAAGTTTTCCCGCTAAATCTACAGAAAAAATTTCTCTGGAAGGCCGCGTGACCCCCACATGACCTCGGGGAGGGGGATCACGTGACCTTGGGGGTCACGTGACCTCAAGATGGGGCGGGGGTGGGGGTCACGTGACCCCTCCCCCTGGTCACGTAACCCCCCCCCCCCCAAAAAAAAAAAAAAAAGAAAATGTCACCCTTAGTACCCTCCCCTCCTCCTCAAGAGCTGCACTCTAATTCAGCATTACAGGGAGCTGTAAGCGGCTTTTATTTTTTTTTTGTTAGGGGCTAGCCATGTTTGGCGTCGGGTGCTCGTGCTTCGCTCGTGAGTTCATGTGCTCACGAGCACGTGAGCACGTGTTCCTAAGGTTGTGTAAGGCAAAAAAAAACAAAAAAAAAGCGCATCTTTACGTGGTGAATGATGTTGATTGGGGCGAAGCTCTGGTGGTGCTTGTCTGCGTAGACGCTGAGCCGCAGCATGCCGAGCCTTTCGTTCATTTTCATCCATGTCAGAAAGAGAATGGGTGGTATGGAATGTGGTTATATGCGCATTTGAGCATTTGACCGCAGCGTGACATGGATGAAAACGAATGAAAGGCTCGGCATCCTGCGGCTCAGCGTCTACGCAGACAAGCACCACCAGAGCTTCGCCCCAATCAACATTTTCACAACATTGAGATGCAGTTGTTTTTCTAAATTAGGAGGATAGTTGTATTGTGTTTACTCATTTCTAATGTGTCGCCAACTCTGTTTAGTTGCTACGGTTCAATTCATGCCTTTTTCGAACCACCTTGACCGTAAAGAAAATTTAAGCTACATGTCATTTGTTCTGTTATGCTTATGCATACCTGCCAAGTTTTACGATTTTATCGTAAAGTGTCTGCTTTCCAGCGCTTTCTTGAGGTTATCGTATTAACAACAATATTTGTATAATTTTCCGCACCCCCCTGTAAAGAAAAAGATAATTTTGTTTAAGCTGCATCTCACTTGTTTACAAGTTGGGGTTGGCAACACTGGATAATGACTTGTATGCCAGGGGGCGCAGGCTACCGCTCCAGTGATGTAAGGGGTGGTATAGCCGCTACTGAGCTGAGCGTCTAACATCCATCCATCCATCTGAATCCAAAACTAGAAATCTCCTTTGTTGTGGCGAACGTTGTACGTTGTGTTACTGGAACTTTTACTCATGATCCCTTGAAACCATCTTTGCTACAAGATGGCGGGAAAAAAATACTTGCAAGTGTTTATTCCCAGCTATTTATCCGACTTTCCATTTCTGAAGACATCGCGCAAGGGCGAAATGTTCACATTTTGTAGTCTGTCGCTGCGATGTCAACATTTCGCACGTTGGTCGCCGGGACATTCTGTCATCTGAATAGAAAAAAACACAAGGGCTCTGCAAATGTAGATGAAACCAACGAGAAGCTTGGAGGGTACTTTAGTCGATCAACGGATTACGACACTACCCGAGCAGAATGCCATTTACGACATTTTTGATTGAACACAACGTGCCGTTTACAGCGGTTGTGGAGACGTTAAAGAGCAAGAACTTTGCTCTTTAACGTCTTCGTTAAACCAGGCACAGGAGAAAGAGTTTTCAGCAAAGTGAAGGAGGCACACACGCAGTTCCGCTCCTCTATGTCGAAAAAGACTCTTGAACAGTTCTTAGTTGTGAGATGCAGCCAGTCTGGAAAGTGCCATGAACAAGTGTTCGACAACAACTTCCTAAGAGAAGCATATGCTGAAACTTCCTCAGTGTTGACCCAACCTTCTACTTCTAAAGAATAAGACATTTCGTGCAATGTATGATGTGTTTGTGCCCTAGTTGAGGCATTTTTCTTAACTAAACCAAGTTTTTGAAGTATAAATCAGTTTTCGTATTCCTTCACACAATAGTAGTGTTTTTTGGCATCCCCTGTAGTATTTTCATCATTGTAGCTTGGCAAGTCTGCTTATGTGACACCTATCCGAGTGAAAGTTGTAATAGTGCATTGATTTATCTGCAGTTGACCTGGTTCACTTGCCTGTCGCTAAACCAGCACGAAAAAGTTTTTAAAGCTGAATATACCGGTTTGGATACAGTACTAGCCTATGTCTTGAGGGACCTGATTTTTATGTGCCTGCATTAAGCGAATAGTTAAGAGGGCTTTCTTTTATGTGCAGTGCCTACCATCAAGATTTCTGGTTTGTTCGCAGAAGTTGAACTTCCTCCGTGCTTTCTTAATTCATGTGGTTGCCACAAAATCACGTAGGCTAAGAAGCAGTTTCTCATTGATGCTTAAAGACCGACCAACGAAACCATATTCCGCAAGGTAGGAGAATGCCCCTCGCACCCTCCTCTTTTCATTCTCTCCCAAAAATCATGTGACGGCAGGGGCTTCCTTTGTGTCTGCTTTTTCTGTATGGATAATCCTCAAAAAGTGTGCAGTGAGCGGCTAGCTGCGAGCGCCACAACGACCTTGAGACGTCCAGGTGCAGGGGTGTGACATCTGCCCCAATTGCGCT